TGTCTCAGAAAACCCCCCTAAGCGATTTTAATTTTAGAAAACCTCTACAAATTTGAGGGTGTTGTAGATAAACCTCCTAAACTTTCAAAATATAACTAAAACCCCCTTAACTATGGGTGTCTCACAAAACTCCCTTTATCTTTCTAGTTGTTTCAAATAACTCATGCAATGACTAAAATACCATTGGTTGAAGAAAATTCATGTGAGTTTAAAAACCCAATCCAATCAAATATTAGACTTTGGTTCGATGGGGTTTGATGAGGACTTCAAAAAATATTTAAAAGTTTTAATTGTTTTAAACATTGCAAGTATGAATTAGCAGGTAAAATAAAAAAAAGTTTAGTATTTCAAAAAAAGAGAAAAAAAAGAAAAAAAAAAAATGTGTTGCATGTAAACCTAACAATGGAGGAGGAATAAGAAGAGGTGTGAAATAAAATGAGAGTTATTTTTAACTAAGAAAAAAATTAAAAAGGAACACTGGTAAAATTTTTTAATTTCTTAGGGATAGTATGGTCATTTTAAATTATTTGTTCCTTTGGATTTAAATTATACTAGTTTAGGAGGTTAAGTGAGAAAAGTTGAGGGGCGATGAATAATATTTTGAAAGTTAAGGAAGGTTATCTACAACTACTCCATAATCGAGGGCGATCTTCTAAAGTTAACATAGTTGATTGAGTTTTTGAGGCGACCCCTATAGTTGAGGGGGGCTTTCTAAAATTAGCCCTATATATATATTGTATGTATATGTATATGTATATACATATATATAATTTTTGTGTGTGTGTGTGTAAGCATGAAACCTCCCTTCAAGCATTACGATTATAGAAAACTTGGGATACACCAACACAGTGAAAAGCCCCATGAGTCCACGTCCAACGTGTATCGAACTCGTATTCACTGTGGATTCATTGTAGATATGGGTTTAAGACAAAAAAGCCAAATTTGCAACCCTATAACCAAAATTTAAGTTTATTTGCTTAGCGGGTTTAAACACTAAAAGTTTTTAAACCCGAAAACCCAAACCCAACCCCTAAATCTTCTCAAAAATCCTTTCCCTATTCTTTCGCCTCTCTTTTTTGTCGTCTTCAACCCAAAAAACCTTTTGTCCCCAAAGCTGTTTGACTCCGTCAAAGATCGTTAAAGAGGACTTCATTGGAGATCAAAGAGAGCTAGAGAAGCATTTGAAAAGACATTACAAGAACTAGTGAATATTTCAGTTTTTTAAACTCTAGGTTTCTTTGGATTTTCAAATTTGACATGTAATTTGTAATTGAGTTAGGATTTGTGTTATATAGTGTTGAGATCATCACATTCTGAACAATTTATTGATTGTATCTCACTATTTCTCACTTTCTCAGTTTCATGTTTTCAACAGTTTTGAACAATTTGTTGTATCCCCGTATCATAAATTTTACAAATTTGCGGTGTCCCGTGTCTATAATCATGTTTGCACCCATGTCCACACCTATATCCGTGCAATGTAGTAGAGAACTGACAAGACCCAAATAGAAATCTTAAAAGACAACTCTGTCTTATATATCCTAGAAAACATGTAAGACCCTGCAGGCCAGATTGACTGCCCCTTAGTATTCTGAAGATATCTTTCTATATAAAACTCAATTCATGCGCAATCAGATTCATTTGAAAATAAACTCATTAATCTTTGCAATGCTTCAATCTGAGAGTTAACTGGAAGCTCCTAGGAAAAGTTTTGACTGAAACCATCAAGGTTATGCATGCAGTCTGAGAATAACTCTTGAACTTCTAATGCTTCTGCATCATTTAAGTGCTACGTTTTACAGTTCGTGGTATTTTAAGTGTAAAGGTTGTGAAACAATAGGGTATTTAAGTGCCATTTAGCTGGCTCTCCAGGGTGAACTACGTCATCCTGCCCATCATGGAGGCTTTTGGCCGATCACCTTTCTTTCTTTTCTTATGCTTCTTTCTCATCAGCTCTCTCTCTGCCCTATTCAACGTCAAGGCTATGTTCATCGTCCAATGGTTATGCAATAATGGCTAAATTTGTTGGTGATTACTTTGTATGTAAAAGATTGTTTTTTCAATGAAAGCAATCGGAGATGTTTGTGAGTTTTTTTTTTTTTGGATTATATAATGTTGTCATGGTTGTGGAAGAATGGTTTAGGAGGTCCAAAGTAAACACGTGAAGCCATACTCAATAAGAAGCTGTTGATCTAAGTTACCTGGGTGTGGGTTATGAACTACTGTACATATGTCCAACTGGTTTCTGTAGGGTGTGAAGTCAAAATCATAATCAGTTTTATTTGATACAGTTCCCCATTTTTATCATTTCCTACTCCAGCATAAGTTGTGAGTGTGATTATTGATTAATCGATCTGAATAACATCTAACTACACAAAGGCTGAAATGAATAAATTCTAATGATGGTATTGTCTTGTTACCTGATCAATAATGAAATAAGGGCAAAAATTTTGTGATGGTACCTACCAGTTGAAGATGTGATCCCCGTATATTTTTCTGGAGTGGTTCATGCTATCTAATTTTTCTCATGTTTGTTGACTTTGAAAATCATCATCAAAGTACAACTTAAATGGATAAAAATCCAATGATAACATTGTCTTGTAACCTGATCAATAATGAAATTAATGCAAGCTTTTTAATGACAGTACCACTTGCAGATATGTTGCTGGTATAATTTTCTCGAGTGATGCATGCTAACTAATCTTTCTCATGTTTGTTGACGTAGAGAATTATCATGTTAATTTGCTTTACATTTTCTAAACTCCAAGCAGAATTCGTCTGGCTAGTGGACTGAAAATAGCGCATCAACAATTGGGGAATATTCAACTTGTATCTCAGTATTTGACAATCCTAGGTACATTAGCATTACAACTCCATGACACTGGCCAAGCGAGGGAGATATTGAAGTCATCACTGACCCTGGCCAAGACACTTTATGATATTCCAACACAGATTTGGGTGCTTTCTGTACTAACAGGTGCTTACAATGTTATATATTTATCTGGCTTGTTTACTTTTAACCTGAAAAATCATTTCCATTTCCCTGGTACAATTATGCATTTAGTGTCAGAAATGAGATTCACTTCCAGAAGAAGTTGAAAATTTTAACTGGTTTATTTCTGTATAACTCTTTCGAGTAGGGGTCAGATGCATAAAATTTGCATTTTAGTGTTTAAAGTCATTAAGCTGGTGCTGTCCACATGCAGCCTTGTATCAAGAGCTTGGTGAGAGGGAAAATCAAATGGAGAATTCTGAGTATGAACGAAAGAAAGAAGAGGACTTGCAGAAGAGACTATCAGAAGCTCACTCACGCACTCATCACCTTGACCTGGTATGTGAAACTGGCATCATGAACTCGGCTTGTGTATCTGAACTTCTACAAATTATTGCATTCATGCATACTGGCAATTCTTGATTTCTGATTGATTTTATCAAAATTTTTCCATATTTCCACCACACAGAAATGTGGAGAGAGAGAAAAAATCACATAAAGAGCCCTCTAAAGAATATTGAAGTAGAGGGTGACACCTAGTATATCACAAATATCAATGCACATATCAATTGTGTTCATCAGTGCAATCATTAGTGTTTATTTGAAAAAAATTACTGTATATCATAGCAATGGGTGAATACATTTTGATAGTGCATTCATACGCTAGGTGTCACCTTTCGTTCCTCCCTATGCGGTATTCTGTTGAGGCCCTCTCTATAGAATATTTCTGAGAAATGTTCTTATGAATTTGATTCTGGTGAAATCTGACACAGATAGAAAAGACAAGGGTAAGTGTTCAGCCTCTACATGGGCTTGATATGAAACGAGCAATGGCTGGGCCATCAATGAAGGTTGACCTCGACATCCCAGAATCAATTGGTTTGCCCGCAGCAGCTCCTGCATCTTCTTTATCCTCTAGACTACGGGATAGTGATTCAAGAAACCGGGGAAAGAGGAAGATCTAATTTTAGACTACATGGAAGCTTTGTCTCTCATGGTTTCACTTGTCACTATTCAATCTGGTTGCACTTGGTCAAATTTACCTTCACCAGCAGTGTGAATAGTAAAGTAGTGGAACTAGTGGTTACAATGAAGCTTGGAAGATGATCTCAGGTCCCAAATGTTTATTGGCAACAATTCATATTAGTCCGAATCCATATCAAGGCACCTCATCAGTACACTATAGATTCGGCCTTGCCTATCTCGTTGGATTTCTACGGAGAATCCGTATAGTTTATTGGGAAGTTCATTTACTAATTTGAATGTGAAAACATGTATTATGATCTCACTTGCGCAATGTAAATGTACATTATCAGTAAGAATTCGTAAGAATTTGTAGATGTTTCTGACAAAAAGTTTTTGAATGTTGTGCTTAAGAGCTTATTTCTAAACAATACACATTAAGAGCTTATTTCTAAACAATACACATCACGACTACTACGCTCCGCATATCAATGGGCACTTGGTTCCAACAGGTAATAAGCACTGATATCATCTTGTAATTTTAGTTTTAGATTGCGTTGCTGGATAGAAGCATCTAATCTCACAGTCTATTTTCTGATCGTAAAAAACAATGTTTTTGAAAGCATCATGTGTCTGTTGTAGATGTGCGATTACAGTGCTTGCCTGCGCAAGGGAATGAACACAATATATTTCTCCAGTAGTATTTTTTTTCTCAATTGGAAAGGCTGGGATCAAATCAGTCAGAGACCACCAACATTACGAGCTTTTTTGGTGTACGGTGGAAAAAAGAAAATTAAAAAAAAAAAAAGAAAAAGATTCCATTCCACATAGCACACTATACTTACTTTGCGGCCAACTCTCAACAAAACCAACCCAACAAAACTTCCCTATTCAGATAGAGAGAGAAATCACCAATCCACCTTACATTTTCATCTTCTTCGCATGAACATGGGTAAGTGATGAAGTCTGAATTTAGCAGCAGGATGGCCTGTTCAACGTCTCTTTTGATTCGTTATTTCCGTTGCTCGTGAGGCTTATCCTGTTGAGGGACAGTTGAGCCTTATCATGGGAATCGGATTTTAACACCTTGTTCTTCCTGATGCCGCTGTATATTTCCTTGATCACCGTCTCGAATGCGGTCTTGACGTTCGTCGAACCCAAAGCCGATGTCTCCGTGAAGAACAACCCTTCAGCCTCCGCGAGCCTCCTGCCTTGTTCTACAGATACAGCCCTGTCGTCCTCCAAGTCGCATTTGTTGCCCACAAGCATTTTTGTGATGCTCGTGTCGGAATGAGCTGACAGAAAACGGTAGAGATTTCTCAGATTTAACAGCACTGAAAAAGATAATAGGATTGGTCGCACAAAAAAAAAAGAAGACTAGTTCCGAGAAGAATTATAAAACCAGCGTTCCAATATGTATTCCGAACAAAAAAAAAAAAAAAAAAAATCTACAATCCACCCACAAAACGCAAAACAAAAGCAAACCATGGGAATAAGTAATTAAATCAGAACAAAAAAAAAAAAAAAAAGGCACCGTAATAAAATCTCACCACTGAGCTCATGTAGCCACCTCCCCACACTGTCAAAACTAGAACTTCTTGTGATATCATAAACAAGCAGAGCACCAACAGCGCCCCTGTAATAGGCCGAGGTCACGGCCCGAAACCTCTCTTGGCCTGCGGTGTCCCAGATCTGGGCCTTGACGTCCTTCCCGTCGATAACCATGCTCTGGGTCTGAAACTCGACTCCTATCGTGGCCTTGGAGTTGGGCTTGAACTCGTCTTGGGCGTACCTAGAGAGGAGGTTGGATTTGCCGACGGCGGAGTCGCCTACGATTACTATTTTGAATAAGTACTCTTCTGGCTCCGGTTCCGGTTCTTCTTCTTTTGCCATTGATGACGGTCTGCTGCTGCTGTTTCTGGTTTTTTTTTACCCTATTTGAGTTGAGGGGGCCTTTTGTTTGGGTTTTTTTTTGAATGGGTCGAGAGGTTTTATATTGGTTTTTGAGGGGAAGGGTGAGGCCCTGAGGGGTTCACATCCTCCTCACTATCAAAACTAGGTTTAACGGAGAGGCTGCTATTTTGTCCCAAGTATATATGTTTATGATTCTTCTTTTGAGTGCAATTTATAGAATACTAGTGTCAAATTTGGAAGGACTCACGATCATTTACTAAACGGTTTTTCTATAGAGTGCCCTTGGGCACTCTATAAGAGAGAAGAGAGATAAAGAGAAATGAATGAAGAGAAGATCCCAATGCAAATCAGGGGCCTCCCTCCTCATTCATTTCTCTTTACCTCTCTCCTCTCTTATAGAGTGCCCAAGGGCACTCTATAGAAAAACCGTTAAATAAATGATCAACAATTGAAAGTATAAATAATAGTATCTCCAGTGCGATTTGCAATTGGACAGGATCTCAACTCAAGAGTGAGAGACACGAGTGTTTGTTTTGAAATCTGATGAAGTTAACCGTCCGGGTAATAAATAAGTTTGTGATGAAAATATTGAACAAGAGCATTTTAAAGAACGAAACGGGTCAATCAAATTACACCCTCGTACGTTTTTTTTTGTTATTATTTAATTTTATCCTTTTCGGCAATGCTTATGAGATTTTTAGTAGTTCAGGAGCTTTAGACACACTTTTGCAAGTTTGGAAGAGATTTAATCTGATGTAGATGGTGTTGAGAGAAACTCTTCTTTTTGTGCCAAATTAGTTTTTTTTCAATTAGCTTTTCAAGTTATACATTCTTGGTCATATTATTAGCTTTTTAAGTTTCACTGGAAAAAAAATTGGTCTTAGAAGTTCATCTAAAAATAAGATGGTGTTTGGGAGAGCTTACTATTTACAGTTTATAAGCTATGCCAACTTTTTGTGGCTTAGCCATTATGATATAATTTTTTAATTAAAGATGTATGGGTGGAAAGATAATTTGCTAATTTACTTGCTCAAATCAACTTATTTAGATGAGCTTATAAGCTAGTTTTTCAAAAGTTGACAAACCCAATTTTTCTAAATTTAGCTTAGAAACGATTTTATTTGATATATCACAAAACATGTAGATATGAAAAATCTAGCTTAGAAGCAACTTAAAAAAAACTCTATAAACACTCTCTAAGATAGTTCTAACCAAGCAAATGATTTTTCTACTAACATAAGTTTCTAAAATTTGTAAATAAAAGTCAAAAGCTAGCATAGCTTACAAGCATTTGTAAAAAAAAAAAAAACCTCCCAAACATTCTCTAATAACAGTGTCGGGGAGAATTTTTTGCAAAATCATTCTAAAGAGTTTTTTTTCCCGGGTGGGAAGGGGAGCACGTGAAGCTATTTCTTTTTAATTAAAATTTGATTATAAGTGGATGATCGTGATTTCTCAAAATAAAAATATGAGTATATGATAAGTATATTACTTTTGAATTAATCTCAACTGCCCTAAACATTTGATTTTAACAATTTTTTGGCCTATTTTATACGAAGTCGCAAGTATTTAACGACAAGCAATTAATATGCCATGCTACTCCTGAGGAATAGTTGTGATATGCGGAGGTGAGGACTGGAGCACAATTGATCTTTACTCAAAACTCTGATAGGATTGTGATAGTTTCTTAGATAACTTGAATTAACAGACAAGAAGTCAGTTTTTTACTCCGAACGTAATAATCCGCAGATTATCATGCGTTAATTACGGATTGACCCTCCGTTTACATCCTAATTGTGGACACTATCTCCAGTGATTTTATTTGTGCGGATAGATTGACCATTGTAAAAGAGTCAAAAAAGTTTACATAGTAAATTTATCCGTACTTGGACAAATAGTATATATAACCTATCCAGGTTAATAGATTTACGGTGGGTCTATCTGCATATAATTGACAATAGTATAGTGGGTGTGTCCGCATTTAACCCTATTTTATTGGCTCAATGCGCTTCAACTTATTAGAGACACCAGTAGAAAAACGACCAATCTAGACGGAACAATTTAGACGGAAAAAATTTCCGTCTAGGTTGAATCAAACTAGACGGAAATTTTCCGTCTAGGTTGATCCGTCTAGTTTGGATCAAACTAGACGGAAAATTTCTGTCTAGTTTGCCAAACGAGACGGAAAGGTCAACCTAGACGAAAATTCTGTCTAGGTTGACCATACAACCTAGACAGAATTTCCGTCTAGATTGATCGGATAAACTAGACGGAATTTCCGTCTAGGTTGACCATACAACCTAGACGGAATTTCCGTCTAGGTTGAGGCAACCTAGATGGAAGTTCCGTCTAGGTTGCCTGGGTTCTTGCTAGTCAGCCGCCGCACCCTAAGTCTCTCATTCTCTCTAGCTCTCGGCGTCAGCCCATCGCCGACACCCCTCCCGACGCCCCCTCCTCCGGCCCTCCCGACGGCCCTCCGCCGCCCCTACGGCAGCCCGCCCCCTCGCGACCCCCGCCTTCCTCCGGCCCCTGCCGACGCCCCCCCCCCCGCCCCCTGCCTCGCGCCGCCTCCCGACCGCCCCCCCCCGCCACATACGAACGACCCTCCCCTCCCCAATTCCGACACACCCCGCGCTGCCCCCTGACCTACTCCCAGACCCTTCCGACGCACCCCCCTCCGCTCTTCGACACACCCCTTCGGCTCCTTCTCCTCTCCCCCTCCCCCTCGGTAGCCCCTCCGCTTCCTCCCCCCCCTGCCCGAGCCGCCCTTCCGCTCCTCCTCCTGCCCCCCGCCTCCGCCTCCCCCTCGCAGCCCTCTCATCCGCTTCGGCCCCACGTCCCCCTCGCAGGCCCCTTCCCCTCCCGACCCTCTCCCGACCAACCCCACACGCCCCGAGGCACCGTCCCTCCCCGTCCGCCTGACCCCTCTCGCAGCGCCCTCTACCCTCCGGCACAGTGTCCGTTGCGGAAATCAGTTTAAAAGGTATGATTTTTCTACTGAGCTTTAGAAATTTCAATTTTATTATTAATTATTGTTGAATTTGGTTAAAAACCCTAATTATGTTGAAAAATAAACGAGTTCAATTCTGAAAATCCTAACTTAATTAAATACATGTTAATTCATTTGAACAACACTAGTTATCATTATTGAGTTTTAAACACTTATAAACCCTAACTCATTTAAGTTTCATTCGTGCTATAAGTATGTGTGATTATTTAAGTTTGTGATGTGAAAATATGTGAAATAATTTTTTTTTAAAAATAGAGTGATATATAACACATTATAAAATTTTATAATGTGTTATAATCCAATTTAGGTGAATAAAAAAATAACGTTATCTCTAGACTTCCGTCCAATAATTACATCCAATTATTTGGACTTATAATATATGATATACGACTCAGATTTGGGTAGGAGACGAAGTTTTCTCCCAAAAATAAGCGTTTATTTTATATTATAGGAATAAAAAATTGGTACTGAAATTCGTAATTATTGGATCTGTCCTTCTCGGACGGGTTAGGAATATAGTTGTGCATACATCCAACTTTGTATACTTTGTATATTTTCATTCTTGAAAGTTTTGGCAGCACCTATTCGTTGTTTTCCGTGTACAATAAGCTTATGTTATTCTACGTTTCGGGTTATTACTGATACGCATAATAACATCCGCACAGTGTACAGGGAGAACAGCGGGTAGGTGCTGCCGAAATTTTCAAGAAATAAAAATATACAAAGTATATGAAGTTGGATGTAAGCACTACTATATTCTTAATGGATAGAAGCCTTCCTATGACAGCCGCAAGATTAGTGTAATTAGTTTTTACGTATGTTTTATATATATTTTATGTAGATAAATATTCATATTGTTAAATGATATATGAACGTATGTTTGATGTGTGTTGAATGTATAAGAGTAATGGATGTATTAGTAGTTGTGAGACTAATCGTATTTAATATTTATATATAATTTACAGATGAGGATAATTCCTGACAAGTCATGGATAGATATCCCTAGGCATCGTAGATTTCGTGACACACGATACAAGGAGGGATGTGAAGCCTTCATGCGTTATGCGGAAATGAATCCGAGAAATTTAAGAAGCGGTGCTATGTATTGTCCTTGTTGTAGGTGTAGGAATTTGAAGCTGCTGAATAGAAATGATATACGGATTCACCTAATAAAATCAGGTTTTGATGAGAAATATAAATACTGGAACTGGCATGGGGAGGGTATCACTGAAGATGAGGATCCAAATATGCATGTTGGTACGTCCGGTGGCCAACGAATAGATGACACAGAAACATTGTTGAATGATATTTTTCCTCGACCTACAGAATATGATGTTGATGATAATGTCGAGGATGATATTGGAGACAAAAGTGAAGATGATAACGAAGTTGAAGCCGAAGAGGTAGGAGGTGTCGCGAGTGTCGAAAATATTGATGATATGCATTCCTCCGCAGAAATAAAGCGAATAATGGAGCTACTAGAAGATAGTGAAAAGGACTTATATGAGGGATGTACCGAGTACTCCAGATTTTCATTTATGCTAAAACTCCTACACATTAAGACACTTAGCGGTATGTCAGATAATTATTTTGAAATGCTTCTTGATTTGCTTCGAACTGTAATACCTGGAGGAGTGAATAGCATACCCCAAACAACTTATCAAGCTGAGAAGATTGTCTCTGCTCTGGGTCTTGATTATAATAAGATTGATGCATGTCCGAATGATTGTATTTTGTACCACAAGGCCAATAAAGACCTTCAAGAATGTCCGACATGTGGAGTTTCTAGGTGGAAACATCGTACAAATTCTTCAACAAGGATTACAACGGAGACAGGGATAACACAGAAGAAAATTCCAGTCAAAGTGCTTCGACATTTTCCATTGGCTCCTAGATTGCGAAGATTATACATGAACAAGGAAACGACAAAGAATATGAGGTGGCATAAGGATGATCGAGTAGATGATGGTAAATTGAGACATCCTGCTGATGCGGTAGCTTGGAAGCATGTTGATAAAATTTATCCTCGATTTGCCGAAGATTGCAGAAATGTAAGACTGGGTCTATCAAGCGACGGATTCAATCCATTTGGGGTAATGAGCTCTGGCTGGTCTACGTGGCCAGTTGTATTAATGCCATATAATTTACCTCCAT